AAATTAAACTTAAAACATAAAACTAGACTCTAAGATTCTTAACTAGACTTATATGACTCAAAACAAACTAAACTAACTCAAAACAGCACAAAACAATAAAAAAGACTCAAAACTAACTCTAAAGAGTTATTTGGACGAATTTAAGACTTACTTAACTCAAAACACTGAATTGGACAGATTCAAACACTCTTCTAACTAATCTAACACACTTAATTAAAGGGGGGATTGACTTGGACGAAATTAACTAAAACAAATAACTTGTAGAAACAAAGCAAGGTAAAAACGAATTTAGGTGAATTCAAGGGTGAAAAGCTAGCTAGAGGATTCTTCTCCACACATGAAACATATGCAACATAAATTGATTTCCAGTATTGTTTCTTTAAATCACGAACGACAATGCCCCAAATTAATCATGAAAAGCACAAATTAATTTTCAGATTTTCCTAAGTTCATTGAATTGGATGGAATATGCATCGGCAACCAAATTATTCTTCTCAAGTTCCCTATATGAACAGCATGATAGAGATACAATCAAAGATCATTAAGTTCTATGAAAATCATAAGCATTGACATGACATTTGTAACTATGAACTGCATGATACTCCTGCCATGGATTTACCTAACACGATTGTGACTAGCAACCTCCACTACTTGTAAATATAAGTTCATAACGACTAAGTGAAACTCCCTTATACTTTAGCATTAGATTCATGCATGCAAATTAAGTGTGCACCCCTAAATAAGTTCTCAATCAATCAGATAAGTAAACCACATTCATGTTTTACGAAACAAAAAATGAAGGTAATCAATTCATATCAAACATATGTCCATGGCTTCGAATTCACCTCTAACTAATAAGAAAATTAGTTACACATGTTCATAACAATTGAAAAGCAATATGAAATAAACATGGAAACAAAACAAGGGAAGAAAGAACTCTAGAAACTCCAAAGGATGCAGGTAGGCTTGCGCACACTCCTCCTTTTCCAATGGAAGCCACGACAAGGTCTTGTCCTTTCTCCTCTGCGGCAAAATATGGATTTCTGAATGGGTGGTGGTGTAGAACGAATTATGGTGTGGTGGGTGGTGTTTTTGCGGCTGAAAGGGGTGTAGAATTATATGGGGGGTGGTGGTGCAAATTTATGGCTGAAAACACATATTTATAGCCTAGGGTTTTGACAAATTCTAATGGGAAAAGGCTTAGGATTTTCGGCAAAGGCTTGGGCCTCAATCCAAGGGGGAAAAGAACTAGGGTTTGTGCAGATTTTAGGGTTTCTAGAAGGGTTTGGGGCGCCGCTTTTGTAAGGAATTCTAGAAACAATGTTATGTGGCTGATTTCTAGAAGAACAAGGCCTAAAAACATGCAACACCAATGTAGGAACATATAAGGCCTTCTAGAAAGGTTTCTAGGTGATTTAAATCAGAAATTACCTCCCCCTTGCAGCAGGAATTAAGTTAGGAAAAGATTAGGATAGGATAGGATAAGATAAGGTTAGTTACAGTTTGGATAAGATAAGGCAGTTTGAATAAGGTTTGGATAATGTTCCTTCTTTCTTGCTGATTCCTTATCTTCCAAGTTTTGAAATAATTTCTCTAGATTTGTAGCACATTCCTAGCCTCATTTAAGCACAAAGAATGTCCATCCAACTTGGTCCACATGCATGCAATCCAATTCAGCCCAAAACTACACCAAAATGCACTTTCTTGCCAACTTTGCCATTAGGACCTACAAACACACGAAAATAGCTTAAAACATTATAATAAACACAAACTCGCTTTGAAAATGCAAGAAAACAAGCTAACTAAGTCGCATAAATATGCTCCTATCATTAAGCATGATGTGTGCTATAACCATGATCAAATAATATGTAAGAAACCCTAATGGTGATCAAACATTAAGATTAACAAACAAATTAAACTATAAAATCAATGAATGAAACAAGAATACATATTGGTAATTTGAATACTTTAACTTAATAACAACGAGTAGTTTTGCAAGGTTACATTGAAATCCCCAGCTATGAGCTTAATTACACAACATGATTACATACTATATAAATATCAAGAACAACATGAGTAAAACTAAAGTTCATAGAAGAAACCCCCTTGAAGCAATTTTGATGTTGAACTTCTCCAAGAATAGCACGGTTGCATGGTTTCTTCGGTGGCAGTGGATGGTGGAGGGAAATAGGGTTTTGTTTATGAAAGAAAGGCCAAAGAAAGGGTAGAGAGTAAGCTCTGGGAGACCCCAAGGGGGGGCTTGTGTAAAAGTGATTTGAAACCCTAGTATTTATATGCTAAATGAGGCTGCAAGATATTCCAAAGTGATCCCAGCAACTTAGCCTTTATTTTGCACGTTTTTGCCTTATTTGGCATCTCCAAATCAGGTTAGATATCCCAATTCCTTTCCCATTTTGTTCCTGGTCTTCTAACATGCCAGATTTGTCTTGGATTCTTTATTTGGGCTTCAAAACAAGCCACTAAACTTCTTTCCACCTTTGAATAAGGGTCAACCCCAAAAATGACATGTTTTCATTTCTTTTGCCTTCAAATTGATCCTAAAGTACATGTAACTTCACATTGACACAAAATAAGGTAAAATGCAACCCGTTTAACTCAAAAACATAAGAAAGAGACTAGAAATGGATGGTATAAATGCATGAAATATATGAGTTATCAGCCAAAGATCTTTGATGCCTAAGTTAGTTTCTCCGAAAATAGTATGTGTTTAGGGCTTTTAGGGGTAGCAAAAGCTTACCAAAATTTGGTAGAGATGGAGGTATTTATAGGAGGAGGGGCCGACCATGGTGTTAGGGTTTTACCCTACACATGGCATCATCCTATTGGCTAAGGTTTATGGAAAGAATATTCTCAAGATATTAAATAGGAAATAATATCTTGAGATAATAGTGTAAATATCCCTAATTGATTTAAGTAGGGATTACTTACTTGAACGGAGTCAATTTTCAATTGGGAATGAATTAAAGATAGGATTTGGTAATTAAACCTTATCTTTAATGCCTTGAGTTTTCCTTGTCATGGGCAGGTGAGCAATGACAGTCGTATTCAGCTGCTTGGACCTTCAAAGGTGCTAAGCTGCGTGTGAGAGTATTTGAGAAGCCCACCCATTTAATGAGGGCAATCTTGTCTTTCTTGAACAAAAGTCCATGTGTCACCTCTAGGATTTTTGAGTTTATTTTAGGCTCCACACCTACAACAACACGTTATCAACACGCTCTAGCTTAACGCCAAGGAAACTGACGTTAAGGAACTTAAGGTTCGTGGATAAGTTCTTCTACAAATTCAAAGGCTCAATTTTGTTTTCTGCCAATCAGGTTCACCTAAAATCTATGTTTGATATTTTCAACTACTATGATGCATGAAAACATTCCTCATGATGCAGGCATGAGTGTCTGGGCCTTTCGTACACAGTGTGTAGCCTCAGCCCGCGCCTCGCACTGCCTTCCAAAAGCCAGCTATCATTGGGCTTCTCGCACCTCTGCCCACCCCTCCAGCAAGCCTAATACTTAGGGCTATTTTTCCCTTAGACCCTCAAGCCTAAAGCTTGCACCTGCAAGCTGGATTGCTTTGCAGCCTACCCCAAGCCCAATCCAAGGCTTGCAACTTTGCTGCAGGGTCGTGTACCAGCAACCAACAATTCTATGCTAGGCCACAACCTTTTTTCGACCCAGCGCCAATTTTTGACACCCCCTACTTCTTAGCCACACCCAAATATTTTTTTTTGGGGGGGGGGTCCTAGGCTATATTTTCACAAGTGCTTGACCTGAAGCCAACCAAAGCTAATATTACACAAACGTTATCATTATTTGCTTCCACAATTGACCCTAAATGGTCTCGATCTATTCAATTAATTTAAGTGACTAATAGTCCATTAATTTGACAAAAATTCAAAATTATTGGCCTAAAGTCCATTTTTTGGCATTAATGATTCAATATTTTATTTCTTTTCTTTGAACCGTTGGCATCCTTTCGCAGTCTCAAAGCTACTCACACTTGGGTTCCTGAAGCAAACCCCAAACTCACTACACTTTAGTTGTATATTGTATTATGTGTTCTTGCATGTGCCCCTTTTATGAACCGGAAGTTCATGCTAAACTCGAGCGTGTAGTTTTGAATTTAGTTCCTTTGAAACCCCAAAGTTTTCAATTCAAAATATATACCAGGAAACCTGAAATTTTCATGTTAAAATTAAGACAATATGTGTCCACATAACCCCGAATGTTGTAAAAGTATGTCTATGCCTTTTTTTATATTTTCCATATGACTAACCACATTCTTGCTCTCTCCATTGCAGGGACATGTTGAACTTGAATAAACTCAACTTTACCGCTCTGGAAGTATCCGGAAGAAACCACCTGAACTGGGTTCAAGATGTGAAGCTTCATCTCACCACCAAAAATCTTAAAGTTACCATTGAAGAGGCTGTGAATGTTTCAATTGGTGAAGCTGACAAAGCTACCACCATGATTTCCATCTCTTCCTACTATTAATTAATATGAAATCGTTACATAATATTCAAACTTACGAAATTGACTTTTAGGGCACAACTCCAATGTTCACCCCTTGCCATTCTTTTCTGTTCAATATGGTTTAGAACCCAAAATTGTTAAAATACTCATTTCAAACAAGTAAACACATCACTAAATATCTCTATGTATTATTTGTTTGCCAAAAACAGACGTGGGCACCTCTTTAAATGGTGAGAAAATGTATTGTAATGCGCTACTATTATGATAAAGAATCATAAACTTGGAAGTGTGGCCATCCGTTTTCTGTAGGGATTGGAAGGAGATAATTTCCTTTATGACTAATTTCTCTAATCGGCAACTTTGATAAAAGTTTGAACTTGGCATCAACTTGTTCACTTACGTAATAAATCTAGCGAGTTATCCAATCTAATTTCTCGACACCGAATGATTGTTTCGAAGTTTGATTTCCATGATTAGCAAAGTAAATGAATGAGTAAAAAGTGCAGAGTATTGAGTAAGAAGACATCATACCTTTCAGTGTATAGGGCACATGAAAATCAGGAAACCACAAGTTTCACTAGCTACATAACAAAGAACACAGATGGACTAATTGCTGACATTTGGGGGAGATTAGCTTTGCATCTTATAATTAGCAGTCCGTCGAGCTATAACTGCCATCTGTAGAATAGAACTCGTTCTTGGAAGGATTTTGGGAACTGAACAAGCCTAGACCAAATCATGAGAGGCTTGTGATAACGAATCTTATCGACTCTTTTCAAGTAGAAACGGCACAATGGAGCCATCAGTTGCATAATCACGTCTTTCAAATTTTGGCTTTGCCTATAAGTAATCTACATATTAAAACAGGCAGTTGAATTTGCCCAAACAGAAATAATAAGCTACATTGTTTCTGTTTCCTACACCACCTTACAAACATAGCTTTGCAGTTCGGACCTCAATTCCCAGAACATCAACCTCATTCTAGACAGAGATATAATCTATCAAAGTAGTTGGGCACAAGAAAACTAGGGGGAAAGGGTAGAACATAAACAAGTTTCAACCTGCTCTTCTCACAAGGCATCACGAGAAGCAATCCGGCATGTAATAGCATCATCAAGTGACGATATTCCTAGCTCCACACTTGTTATCTTATAGTGCTGGGGAAAAAAAAAACTTTTTGATCACTAACTAGAAACGCCATCACAAGAGAACTCATTGCCACTATAAAATGAGATCAATATACATGTATACCTTTTGTATTTGGGCTTGATCTGCTCTCCCTGCTAACTCCTCCAAGTCAATCTCTTTCCCATTGACAAGTTTCTCTACTGCTTTTTGTTCTATCTTTTATAACATGAACATGATTAAAGTCGAAAGTGCTAACAATTTTCGGATATACTGAAGCAATGTAACGCTTGATCTACCAGGCATTTCATGAGACAGTGATCTTATCTCATCAAAAGAAGCATTGAAACGAGCGGCAAGCACATAGGTTGAGCTTTCAGAAATCCCACATCTTTTCAAGGACTCTGTGATCTAAGCAACAATCAAAGCTAGGGGTTACATCTTCGCAGCAATAGATAATTGCGCACATTGGTTAATTGGTAGAAACTTACATGCTTGGATCCTGAGTAATTGTAAACAAGCTCAGAATGAAGAGTGCGTGTTGTCAGTGACTCTCGGGACTTGGATACAAGAGTCTTATGTGCAGCTGCAAGTAAAGGGAAAACATCTGGGATCTGATTCCAAGTGAACAAAGGTAGCATTAGCGAAATGCAGCGATAAGCATGTCAGCAGAACACAACATCGAAGGAAAAAAACAAGCAACGGTTAAAGAACACAGAATTATACAAGCGAAGCATTCAGGAATGCGACTTCTGCGTTTAGTGTCCTTGATTGCATCAAATCAAGCAGTCCCTGCAAGATAATCACTCTATTAGGCACTCACATAGCGTCGATAATTTGATATCACATAACGAAATTCAGTTCAAATTGCTGAGTTCACTTTCAATTCTGTTAGAAATTAATACATCTTTCATTATTATGTTCTTCTGGGAATGAAATCAGATTAACATTTCACTAATTAACCGTCACTGATTCCGAAAAAGAAACAATCTTTCCTAATGGAATTGGATAACGAAAGCCCAATTTTACTCTAAAGTTTGACAGGTTTTGGTGGGAAAATCCAGGGGAACAAAATTGGGGTTGGAGAATTTTGCATGAGAGAGCACTACCCAGTTAAGCTAGTTTAGAGAGAGAGAGAGAGAGAGAGAGAGAGAGAGAGAGAGAGAGAGAGAGAGTACTTGGAGTTGGTGACTTGAGTGAAGAGAGCAAGAGAGAGGGTGTTCCCATTTACCTGAAAGTCCTTCATTGTTGCGTCTTCAAGCTCCGGACTTTCTGCACTGCAATTAGGCCTGGCAAACGGATCGTGTCAGTCGTGTTCGTGTAACACCTGTTATCTTAACGGGTCGTGTCGTGTCACACCCGTTATCTTAACGGGTCCTTAACAGGAAGTGACCCGACCCGTTATGACCCGTTAAGAAAAATATATTTTTTTTCTTAAATTTGAACATACCACACATTGCCACATAAATATTACTTCAAAATATTAAAACACATTTGTCGTTTAAGTACTACATCTACACTCGAAAATAAGAGCCTAATAAAAAAATAATACATACACTACTAATCTATTACAAATTTTAAATGTGTAAGGATATGCAAAATGAAACAGTTTTTGTTTTCAAGGTTGTGAAATCTTTCTCAAAAGTTTAAGCCTCAATTTACAAAATCCTCGATTTACATCGATCATCATGAAATTGGATTGGAACTTTGGCTTGATCTATTGCCTTCAAGAGTTATATTGATGATGTTTTCAGTAAGGTTTTCCACGTCATAACTATCTTCTGCATAAACTAAGCATAGAAAAACCAAACATTAAAAATCATTCAAATTATGAGAAGTTTACCAAAATAATTATGAAAAAAAATAAAACAATAGTACTATACCATACTTTTATTAAGTATAAACATAAGATTTTGTGGTATCCACTAGTGTAAATATTTTAAATTGAAGATCGAATTTAATCATTGTATTCATATAAGGTCAAGGAGTGTAGTTGTAAAAAATCATCAAAATCAGAGTTAAATTAACCGTTAAATCGTGATTTTTCGTTTATAACCGTCGAAAAGTTTTGTCCCGTTACGTGCTCTCTGAATATTTGTTTTTTGCAATTTTTGGTGTATGCGATCTCGAAATATATACAAACATGTTTGATGGTTGGATCATTGAAACTAGTTTCGTAGGATGAGTATCCCATCAAAACAATAGATTCACTAATACTTAAGAGTTTATTCATACTTTTATTAAGTATAACATAAGATTTTGTGGTTTCCACTAGTGTAAATATTTTAAATTGAAGATCGAATTCAATCATTGTATTCATATAGGGTCAAGGAGTGTAGTTGTAAAACATCATCAAAATCGGAGTTAAAATGACCGTTAAATCGTGATTTTTCGTTTATAACCGTCGAAAAGTTTTGTCCCGTTACTTGATCTCTGAATGTTTTTTTTTTGCAATTTTTGGCGTATGCAATCTCAAAGTATATATAAACATGTTTGACGGTTGGATCATTGAAACTAGTTTCGTAGAATGAGTATCCCATCAAAACAATAGATTCACTAATACTTAATAGTTTATTCATACTTTTATTAAGTATAGTATAAGATTTTGTGGTATCCACTAGTGTAAATATTTTAAATTGAAGATCGAATTCAATCATTGTATTCATATAGGGTCAAGGAGTGTGGTTGTAAAAAAATATCAAAATCGGAGTTAAAATGACCGTTAAATCGTGATTTTTCGTTTATAACCGTCGAAAAGTTTTATCCCGTTACGTGCTCTCTGAATGTTTGTTTTTTGTAATTTTTGACGTATGCGATCTTGAAGTATATATAAACATGTTTGACGGTTGGATCTTTGAAACTAGTTTCGTAGAATGAGTATCCCATCAAAACAATAGATTCACTAATACGTAATAGTTTATTCATACTTTTACTAAGTATAATATAAGATTTTGTGGTTTCCACTAGTGTAAATATTTTAAATTGAAGATTGAATTCAATCATTGTATTCATATAAGGTCAAGGAGAGTAGCTGTAAAAAATCATCAAAATCAGAGTTAAAATGACCGTTAAATCGTGATTTTTCTTTTTATAACCGTCGAAAAGTTTTGTCCCGTTAATTGATCTCTGAATGTTTGTTTTTTGTAATTTTTGACGTATGCGATCTCGAATTATATACAAACATGTTTGACGGTTGGATCTTTGAAACTAGTTTCGTAGAATGAGTATCCCATCAAAACAATAGATTCACTAATACTTAATAATAGTTTATTCATACTTTTATCAAGTATAACATAAGATTTTTGTGGTATCCACTAGTGTAAAATATTTTAAATTGAAGATCGAATTCATTACTTGTATTCATATAGGGTCAAGGAGTGTGTAGTTGTAAAAAATCATCAAAATCGGAGTTAAAATAACCGTTAAATCGTGATTTTTCGTTTATAACCGTCGAAAACTTTTGTCCCATTACTTGATCTCTGAATGTTTGTTTTTTGCAATTTTTGGCGTATGCGATCTCGAAGTATATACAAACATGTTTGACGGTTGGATCATTGAAACTAGTTTCGTAGAATGAGTATCCCATCAAAACAATAGATTCACTAATACTTAAGAGTTTATTCATACTTTTATTAAGTATAACATACCACTAGTGTAAATATTTTATATTGAAGATCGAATTCAATCATTGTATTCATATAGGGTCAAGGAGTGTGTGGTTGTAAAAAATCATCAAAATCGGAGTTAAAATGACCGACCGTTAAATCATGATTTTTCGTTTATAACCATCAAAAAGTTTTGTCCCGTTACTTGCTCTCTGAATGTTTTTTTTTTGCAATTTTTGGCGTATGCGATCTCGAAGTATATACAAACATGTTTGACGGTTGGATCGTTGAAATTAGTTTCGTCGTATAATTCGTATCCCATGAAAAGTTCAATGGTGTGTGTGTGTATATATATATATATATATATTATATTATTATTTTTTAAATCTATTATTTTGTATGTATAATTATTATTTTTAGGGTATATAAATTTAATATATATTATATATATATAATTATTATAATTATTATAGTTAATTTAATATATATATATATATATATATATAATTATTATAGTTTTTAGGGGTATAAAATTGTTAAATTAATATATATATAATTATTATAGTATTTTTTTAGGGTTATAAATTATTAAATTAATATTCTGCTTATCGTGTATCGTGTTACCCACGTGTATACCCGAACAAACCTGTTATCTTAACAGGTGCTTGTCGGGTTACCCGATAACGACCCGTTTCGTTATCGTGTCGACCCGAACACCTGTTAATTTCGTGTCGTGTCGTGTCGGGTTATCGGGTCGTGTCAGGAATTGCCAGGCCTAACTGCAATTCTGCAACAAAACAATTGAAGCTTACAGTTGTTTATGGAATTGAATAAATAATGAAATAGAGAATTAGCAACAAAAAGGAAAGCAGCGCATGGGTTGGCTACTGGCAGGTGATTATTTCTCGGCTGTCGCTCTGCCACTGCCTAGGGTTTTAGGGGCACCAGAAAACTACAAAAAAGCGAACACCATATTGTGAATGCGCGCAAGGAAAGGGTCGACCTTCGACTTTCTGCTTAGGAAATAGACACTCTATCCACTGAGCTACAGGTGCTTTGTTGTCAATAATCCACTAATCTGATTTAATAATGTAAACAAAAATATTATTGACCTGGTCAAACATTTCTTTATTTGTGTTGGCGCCCATTTGTCAATTTCTCCGAGAAGAAAAATACTTTGGCAAACGTTTCAGAAAATAAATTTGTAAACCAAATGATGTGTAATGTAACAACCCATCCTTAAAAATTATGGTTTTTATAATTTTAATACATGAAAGGATGGAAATGCCCTATGGGCAAAGCGTGATTTTTCGAGGACGTGTGTAACTCTCGTATATTTTGTCATGTTTATTGACATATTCGGATAGAGCTCGATCTTACGGATGCGTAGGCACAGGTAGAAGAGGATTTGGAGTTACGGTTAAAGTTTTACGGAACTGTAAACCCAAGAAGTATTTTGGTTTTAGTTAATATTTATTCTTTTATGTATCTATTGATATAAGTTTTTTTTTTTTTTTTTTTTGAGGAGTATTGTTAGAATATGGGAAAAGAAAAGAAGAAAGCCGGGGAGGAAGAATAGAGGGCAAACAGGATTGGGCAAAGCTGCCGAATCTGGAAGAAGGAAGAGATGGCGAATCAAGAAAAGAGAGAAGGAGAGGACGACCAACCAGAAGAAGGTAAGGAGGGAAAGGAGGGAGAAGGAAAAGGAGGGGAGCAGTCGGGTCCTTCTAACCCGCGCGAAGACCTGGTTCTATAGGGTGTTTTCCCGATGGTTTTCCATCCAAATTTCCATTTTTCTCCAACCTCCCATCACCCTCAAACACCCTCAAGATATCCCAGCATCCAATTCAACCCAAAAATCAACGAATTTTGTTGTGATTTCGCGAAGAACACCCACGCGGGTGCCGTGAGGTCTTTGCTCCAAATCTACCATTTCTGAAACAATTTCTTCCAATTACCACTACCTATACACTTCCCTTGAGCCTAGAAACAATGCCCAATTGTTGGTTGGAGCGGCGGAGTTGAGTAGAGGACGAATTGATCACACCCAAAACTAGGGTTTCCGACGGATTTTGATGAAATTAGAGCCTTTCCAGGCCAAATTGGCCTTGGTCAGATGTATGAAAGTTGTTCTACTCATTGAGATCTTCAAATTTGCAAATTTTGGTAATTTTTAATGATAGTTGATTTTTCCGACGAGTTGGGGCGGCCAACTACCACCCACGGCGGCGCGTGGTAAAAGGGCCGCCAATGCTATTTTTAGGCTATATTTGATGCCTTAAATTCTGTTTTGAGAATTGAATGACGTAGATTGATTGTTGGAACCAAAATTCTACAAGATACGTTAATAGGCCATTATCTGAATCGACGATCCAACTGTTGGATTGTCATCAAATTTTAATAGGTTATTATTCATAATATTTGAAGAATATAGGAACTTAAGGATTGGGAATCCGACGTACGGATTTTCTCAAATTGAATTTGTAAGTTTGTAAAATAAAATGTTAACCGCCACTTGGTTTTGGCAATTGGCGGAGATCCAAACGTTGGATTGTTCCGAAACTTTAGTATGTTATTTTGGAAGTATAATGTGGATCCTTGGAAGTTACGGATCAGAGATTTGATTTGTAGATCTTCTGGACCGAATTATATAGACTCATGTGC